TTCTCCAGATGATGCAGTTTTTACACAGAAAACTTTTATTTCTCCTGAAGCAGCGAGACGCTCCGCCGCCATAGGAACCAGAGACCAAGCGTGCGGTCGGCGTGGCGATGGCGAGCCGCTCACCTTGGCGATGATGTAGACGCAGCACAGCAGCAGCTGGTCCAGGTGTCGGTCCCTCAGCAGGTCGCTGCACTGAACCACAACCTGCTCAAAACACGTCCAGATTTTCCGGCGCAGATCCGACGACACGTCCAGCTTCAGGCAGAGATCCCTGAGCCGCACGCTGGACAGGTGGTACACCTGCAGGGGTCAGAGGTCAGGGAGGTCGGAGGTCAGGGAGGGCCGTCGTCCGGCCGTTTCCGCTCCTACCTTCCTGAAGAACAGGGCCAGCGACCCGGTTCGCCGCGGACGCCCGGTTCCCGCCTGGGGGTCGGTGCCGGAGGTCGCCGTGGCGACATCCACCCGACCCGGGGACGAGGTCAGCAGGAACCGAGCCGTGACGACGCCGGACGGGTCGCAGGGTTGGACCGGGATCAGGGCGAATGCTCGCTCACCTGCACACAGCAGAACACGGAGCGGGTTCTGGTTCTGTTGGACCTCAGGGACACATCACTGGACCGACTCGTTTCAGGCTGAAAACGGACTGCGAAGGTACTTCAACCCGACCGGAACCGGACCCAAAACCGGACCCGGACCCAGAACCAGAACCGGACCCAGAACCGACCCAGAACCCGGACCGGACCCACCTTGCAGAGGGATGCTGATCACGGCGCTCTGGCCTCCGTTTTTCTGGCCCGTCCCAAACGTCAGCCTCTTGGCCGGAGACGGCGTCGGGCCGACTGCGACGTTCCGCCCAGCAGGGGGCGCCGCCGGGTCGTCGCCGAACAGCCGGCGCTTGGCGCTGCCGGCGGCCGGAGAGCTGTACCGGTCGTGGACCGACAGCGGAGACGGAGGAACTTCTGGAAGGAGAGAAAACGGTCGGGGATCCGTGGAAACCGGGTCGAATGTCAGAACGCGGGAGACCGACCTTTCCGTGAACTTCCCAGACCCGACCGGAACTCCCTGATCCGGGGGTGGATGATGGGAGACTGGGCCATCAGCGGCAGATGAGACTGGCCGTTAGAGGAACCGGAACCAGAACCCGGATCCAGACAAGACGAGAAGTTCACCTGCACAGAGACGGACCCGGCTGTAGAGTTCACATCGTTTCAGTCTGATTGTCAGAAGAAAGGTTTCCGAGGATGCGCCGAGTTCGGACCGGCCCGGTTCGGACCGGCCCGGTTCGGACCGGCCCAGACAACTGAAATAAGAATAAAAGCTTCCTGACTGAAACAGCTTCACGTTGATCCTGATCAGAAAACTGGAACAGAACCGGAACCGGATGATCCCTCAGGTTGAGACGCCGAATGAACGAATATAAGAAACCAAAAGTATCTGGTTCAGACCTTCTGATGAAACGGGTCTCATGATCTCGCTGCGTGACGCTGGACATGTTCATGTCTTTATGATTCCTGTTTCAAGCTCAGTTACAGGAATTTAACTCTCAACCAGTTGATCATTTGTTTTTGCCAGCCATCACCTGGTCGCTGCTCACCTCCTCCACCGTGGGGACTTTTCCGCCGGCGGCCTCCAGGGCGCTCCACAGGGCGGAGTCCGAGGCCCAGGCCCGGCTCTCCAGAACCTGCTCCTCGATGGCGTTCAGATGCTTCACCATGTCGCGGGACAAACCTTCCTCTGAGCGGATGAACACCTCGATGACCTGCAGGCGACAAAACAGCTTCAGGAGGAGGAGCCGGGCCAGAGCCGGGCCCAGAACCAGAACCAGGGCCAGAGCCGGGCCCAGAACCAGAACCAGGGCCAGAACCGGGCCCAGAACCAGAACCAGGGCCAGAACTGGGCCCAGAAGCTACTTAGCGGTGGCTACATTAGCAGCGAGTTAGCGGTGGCTACATTAGCAGCGAGTTAGCGGTGGCTACATTAGCAGCGAGTTAGCGGTGGCTACATTAGCAGCGAGTTAGCGGTGGCTACATTAGCAGCTACTTAGCGGTGGCTACATTAGCAGCTACTTAGCGGTGGCTACATTAGCAGCGAGTTAGTGGTGGCTACATTAGCAGCGAGTTAGCAGTAGCTTCAGCTGCCTTGAGTCACAGAATGCAGTGAGAGGATCTGAAATATCAATAATGATACCAAGTCAGTATCTGATCAATACAAGCATGGAAAGATCAATTCTGTAGTTTCAGATTCTCTCCACACATTTTATGTAATTTTCATTTAATTTCACTCATTTATTCAAAGAAGTTTAACCTTTTTTTCACTTTATTTACAAAAAATTGTCACAAATTGGTTTATCTTTCCGTTTCTGATGATCATGTTTTTTGTAGACAAACACTTTGTCCAAAAATTTCAACTAATTCAAAGAAAAAGGCTGAAAAAGTTTGGAGACATTTCAGAGCTAAACGATAAAAATGATCCTCATGTCAGAATATTTTAGATTAAATATTCTGTCACAACATTTAAGATTGAGGCTCATTTCAGATGCCCGTATTTAAGACTTTTAAAGGATGCGCCGACATCACGCTTCCGCAGCGCAGCGTCACTTCCTGTCCCGAGGGACCGGTTACCTTGAAGAAGTAGAACGGCGGCAGCTTGAAGACGCCAATGATCCAGGGGAAGGTTCTCTGGGAGCTGTAGGAGAACAGGACCACCTCCAGGCAGCACGCCATCAGGGAGCAGTGGAAGATATCCTGCCCAGCAGAACCTGCCAGCAAACGCAGGGTCAGATTTAAAGGGACGCCACGGTGCCGCTGCACCCTGCAGCATCCTGCAGCCTCCTGCAGCATCCTGCAGCCTCCTGCAGCATCCTGCAGCCTCCTGCAGCATCCTGCAGCGTCCTGCAGCACCCTGCAGCACCCTGCAGCGTCCTGCAGCACCCTGCAGCGTCCTGCAGCACCCTGCAGCCTCCTGCAGCACCCTGCAGCGTCCTGCAGCACCCTGCAGCACCCTGCAGCGTCCTGCAGCACCCTGCAGCGTCCTGCAGCACCCTGCAGCCTCCTGCAGCGTCCTGAAGCATCCTGCTTACACTCATGTCCCGGCCCTGCAGACGCTTCGTCTCCTGCACCAGAACGTTCTCCAGGACTTTGTGGTAGAGGATCTCGGCCAGCTTCCAGCGGCTCTCAGCGAAGTCTGGAACAGAACCAGTCAGTACTGGAGTCTGGAACAGAACCAGTCAGTACTGGAGTCTGGAACAGAACCAGTCAGTACTGGAGTCTGGAACAGACTGGCGTTTCTCATACCGATGTGAGATCCCGGCGTGTCCTCGGAGTCGTTGCTGTAATGTTCCTTGAAGGTTTGACCCAAAGTTTTGACCCGACCCAGAATGGAGTCAGTGGGATCTCTGGAGCAGGACCTGCAGACAGAAACAGGAAACATCACATCGACGGCAGAAGATGATGCGTGATTTGTTTTGCTAAGAAACCCAAAGTGAAGGATGAATGTTATGCTGAGTCATGCTGAGGATCAGCTTTCATAGCAAACAGGAAGTTAAGAGCAGAAGCTCTGATGGTGAAACTCTGAATGAAATGTTTGAAACAAGAGCTGCTTTCACACCGGCTCTGTTCGGTTCACTTGCAGTCCGTCTGCCGAGTCAAAGACCGGTTCACTTGTGAGGCGTGAATGCTAATTGACCTCTGACCTCTGGTCCTCCAAACCTCAGTCTGGATTCAATTGTAGTGAACTCTGGTTGGTTTGAATGTGAACAGCAAGCAAACCAGAGACGGCTCCAGAAGCAGGAAGTGAACTACAGCGCAGGGCAGTGTGGGTAATTTAACCAAAGCTAATATGCTAAGCTAGCGAAAACAGCAGAAATGGCTGAAGGGATGGAGGGACGCACGGCGCCGCAGCAGGGGGACGCACGGCGCCGCAGCAGGGGGACGCACGGCGCCGCAGCAGGGGGACGCACGGCGCCGCAGCAGGGGGACGCACGGCGCCGCAGCAGGGGGACGCACGGCGCCGCAGCAGGGGGACGCACGGCGCCGCAGCAGGGGGACGCACGGCGCCGCAGCAGGGGGACGCACGGCGCCGCAGCAGGGGGACGCACGGCGCCGCAGCAGGGGGACGCGGCGCCGCAGCACGCACGGCGCCGCAGCAGGGGGACGCACGGCGCCGCAGCAGGGGGACGCACGGCGCCGCAGCAGGGGGACGCACGGCGCCGCAGCAGGGGGACGCACGGCGCCGCAGCAGGGGGACGCACGGCGCCGCAGCAGGGGGACGCACGGCGCCGCAGCAGGGGGACGCACGGCGCCGCAAGGGGACAGCAGGAACTGTAACCTACCTGAAGATCTGCAGCAGGTTTTCACTGGGAGCCGTCCTCAGACCCGCCACCATGCTCTGCAGCCGGCTCACGCTCTGCGTCGCTGCAGAGACGGGCGTGAACAGCAGGTCCTTCTCCTTCAGGTAGACGCGTCCCGTCAGGGGAGTGGACGGGGCGAGCGAGCCGCACTGCAGGGACAGAGAGAAACGTGTCAACTTCCTGTTTGCTGTGAATTTCATCCTGAAATAATGAGACCAACAGCAGGAATGACTTTGCTTTCATTTTGTTGATTGTTTCTGAGGGTGAAAACAATCTGGACCTTTTTGAAACTCCAGCCAAATGTCTGTCTGTCTCTCTCTCTGTCTGTCTCTCTCTCTGTCTGTCTCTCTCTCTCTCTGTCTGTCTGTCTGTCTGTCTCTCTGTCTGTCTCTCTGTCTCTCTGTCTGTCTGTCTGTCTCTCTGTCTGTCTCTCTCTCTGTCTGTCTGTCTCTCTGTCTGTCTCTCTCTCTGTCTGTCTGTCTGTCTCTCTCTCTGTCTGTCTGTCTCTCTGTCTGTCTGTCTGTCTCTCTGTCTGTCTGTCTGTCTCTCTCTCTGTCTGTCTGTCTGTCTCTCTCTCTGTCTCTCTGTCTGTCTCTCTGTCTCTCTCTCTGTCTGTCTGTCTCTCTGTCTGTCTCTCTCTCTGTCTGTACCTTCTCCACCTGCTGCCCGTCTCTCTGAGCTGCAGCCTGGCTGGCCATTCGCTCCTGAACAAACATCCTTGGCGTTCCGATTTCCTCGTCGGCGTCGGCTCCCAGGAAGACGCGCTCGTCGAAGTCTCCGGCTGTCAGGACGTACTCCTCGTACTCCCGGTTTATGGCTTTACTGAGGACACAAGGAGCACTCAGCACCGGCAGGGAAACGCAGCAGAAAATAATTATTACAGAACAAAAATGCAGCTTCTGTTTCTTACTTGTTGTCAATGAAGTTCTGAGGATCCAACATTTCAGTGAACAGCGTTTCGTTTCCTTTCAGGATCTGATGGACAAACACAGAGAGGAAACCGCAGGACACTGGGTTACATTTATTACCTGGTTATTAACTGATTATAAACTGATTAGCTGGTTATTAACTGTGACCAGTTTATTACCGCGTTATAAACTGGCTATAAAGTGATAAAATGGTTATTAACTGGTTGTTAACTGGTTATTAGTGATCAGCCTCGACCTGTTTGTGGAACAGTTTGTGGATGTACGGTTTGAAGTAGTGCTGCTTGATGCCTTTGGCCTCCCCACCAGGCCATCATGCAGCTCACACAGCTTCTCCAAGACGCAGGGCGGAGTCTCGCTCTGGGGGGCGGCGCCGTCCAATCGGAACGAGGGAGGCACACCTGCAGACGCACAGGTAGGAAAACATTCAGTGATCCAATCGGCGCAAAACCATCCATACATTTTCATGCACTCTTGTCTGGAGTCGGGAGGGAGGGAGGCTGCTGGGGCCCCCGGCCAGGGGTCGCCTTGAAACGCCTCTGGATCTGTCAGGAAAGTTTCTGTTCATTACCATTTACTGCTGAAATGATTAATCGATTACTGAAACAATCGATTTTGTAATGAACTAATGATTAACAGGTTATTAACAGACACTAAAAACTGACATTTCCAGTAGCAGCAACACACAATGAAGCAGAAACGACAAAAATAAAAATGTTTTCCATTCCAAATGAAAAGGTTTTTCATCCCAACATTATTTTCATGTAGAAACTGAATGAAGCTGAAACATCAACAGATCAACACAGATCCACCACGGTTCACCACTTTGGACACAAAACGTGCTAAAAGTCTGATGTTGGTCTTTAACGTCTGATGTTTTACTGTGAAAATGGAGCTGCTGCCGTGCCCTCTGACCTCTGAAGCCAGGGTTGATCAGCTCCTTCCTGTTGGCGCACAGCAGAGCGTTGCCGAACACCAGGTCCAGGCAGCAGAGCAGCAGGTGGTACGAGTTCACCAGGTCGTCTCCGATCATCCGGAAGTTTCCTGCAGGGAATCAAATCCTCACTCAGTTCGGATCCAAGAAGAAATCAACTAAATCCAACACAAGAGCAAAAACTGATTCAAGTAGTTTTTCTGCTAAAGTCATTTTATTACCTCATTCTGTGTTTGGAGGGCAACTTTCCCTCTGTTCAGGAATGTTTGTATAGTTTTGGATTAAAATCTGATTTGAAGATGTTGTTTTTTTTAGCAAATTGAATTTTTTTATACTCGATCCTCCCGGTAATGATCAACTAGTAACTAAATTAGTTGGTGATTATTTCAATAACTGTTTAATCACAATTAATTGTTTCAGTCCTAATTCAAAATTATAAATATTATTATTATATTACTGAATAAATGATCATAAAGAACGTTTGCTGCAGCACAGACAGCAGGAAACATGTTTACAGCGACGCAGCAGAAACTGGATACCTTTAGTGTAGACGAACAACGTCCAGCAGAACTTGAACACGTCAGTGATGTGACAGGGCAGCCGCCTGCAGGGTTAGAGTAGTGCACACTGTGACATCATTATGCTGCTTGGCTCCTGGAGATGAGTAGGTATCTCCACAAGGGGGCGCCTATTCCCTTTTTCCTTTGTTGTACTATTGCACAGAGTGAGAACTTGTTGTTCAGATCATCGGTGATGCTGAGGAGATAAGCGGTAAACTATCGTTACTTTTCTCATGTATGAGACTATGATGTTAGAACCGTGGAGGTCTGGCTTTACATGGACGAAGTGAAATTGTGCCAATTGTGACGGTGCAGTGAGAGGCTGGAGGAGTCAGCATGGCCACTCCACCCCAAACCAGCAGGACGCGCTGTTGGACAACTCCACACTTCATTTCACTAACATCATAGTCTCATACATGAGAAAAGTAACGATAGTTTACCGCTCTGCTCCTCAGCATCGCCGATGATCTGAACAACGTGGAAAAAGCGAATAGGCGCCCCCTTGTGGTGACACCTACTGCTCCAGGAACCAAGCAGAATAATGATGCTACAACAGTCACAGTGAGGCTGCCAAAATAAAGACGCTGCTTTACAGGCACAGCTTTCAACATTCAAACCAACGTCGTCGCCTCGGTACCTGTGCTTCCTGCTGCGCGGCTGCCGCGGGGCCTCGCATCTCTGGGGATTCACGAACATGTCCCTGAAGATGGGCTCGAACTTACGGAAGATCACCGTGGAAACCTCAAAGTTGCGCTCCAGCCGGTCCATCCGCAGCCTGAAGTCCTGCGGCAGGTTGGACATGTCGGCCCATTTCCGCATCTTGGAGAAGAACTGGATGAGGCTGAACAGGGCGGCAGCAGCAACGTCCAGTCAGAAAACGGTAAAGTACGAAGCAGAAAACATTCGGCTTTGGTGTCTGGACATAAATCATAAATCATGTCCAGACACCCGCCTGCCTTGGGGCCCCGCCCGCCCCGGAGCCCCGCCCGCCCCGGGGCCCCACCCGCCCCGGAGCCCCACCCGCCCCGGAGCCCCGCCCGCCCCGGGCCCCTCTGCCCCGGAGCCCACCCGCCCCGGGGTCCCGCCGGGGCCGTTTAAAGTTCAGTGTGAAACATGTTAATATTTATGATAAATTAAAACTGATTTCCTTAGTAAAGTTTGGAAGCCGTCCCATATGGAAAGCGCCGCATGTGACAGTTTTCATGAACACTGCCCTCTGCTGGTCAGAGAGTTTGGGCAACAGGTAGAAATTATTAAAATTGTCAAACAGAGCAACAAAGAAACAAAAAAAATCTGAAAAAGAAAAAAACTTGGGAGTGAATTTTGTAATTTCAGCGTCTTTGTGACTTAAAAGCTGCAGCAGGACTTTGATAAGAGCGGCAAGAATTTCATGTTGATCTGCAACTCATCGCTGCTGGTTTTAGTTTTTCTGCAGTTTTGCTGCTTTCTCGTGCAGCAGGAAGCATCTGACCTCAGCTTGGCGCAGCGCAGGATCCTGGTGAGCGAGACGCAGTTCCCCTCCATCAGCCCCTTCCCCACGGTGGGAGTGGAGCCCTTCCTGCAGGCCGCGTACAGCGCACAGGCCAGCCAGTGGACCACCTCTCCCTGGACGCAGAGCAGCAGAAATCATGCTCAGCACACAAAGTCTACATGTGATTTGATCAGAAAAAAGTGACATTTTTACTTCATTTTAGTCTTGAAAGTTGCTGCGGTTTAAAAACGATTGTGATCATTTATTTCTGCTAATCTCAGGATTGTTGTGGGTCTGGAAAAACCAAAAGCAGGAATAAAAATAACAGGAATAACAATAATCCATTGTCCTGAGTTTAGCAAAAAGGAAATGCATCAAATATAAGTAAACACCAGAACCAGAACCAGAACCAGGTAAACACCAGAACCAGAACCAAGTAAACAACAGAACCAGAACCAGAACCAAGTAAACAACAGAACCAGAACCAGAACCAAGTAAACAACAGAACCAGAACCAGGTAAACACCAGAACCAGAACCAGAACCAAGTAAACAACAGAACCAGAACCAGAACCAAGTAAACACCAGAACCAGAACCAGGTAAACACCAGAACCAGAACCAAGTAAACAACAGAACCAGAACCAGGTAAACAACAGAACCAGAACCAGGTAAACAACAGAACCAGAACCAGGTAAACACCAGAACCAGAACCAAGTAAACAACAGAACCAGAACCAGGTAAACACCAGAACCAGAACCAAGTAAACAACAGAACCAGAACCAAGTAAACACCAGAACCAGAACCAAGTAAACAACAGAACCAGAACCAAGTAAACACCAGAACCAGAACCAGGTAAACAACAGAACCAGAACCAGGTAAACAACAGAACCAGAACCAAGTAAACAACAGAACCAGAACCAAGTAAACAACAGAACCAGAACCAGGTAAACAACAGAACCAGAACCAGGTAAACACCAGAACCAGAACCAGGTAAACACCAGAACCAGAACCAGGTAAACACCAGAACCAGAACCAAGTAAACAACAGAACCAGAACCAGGTAAACACCAGAACCAAGTAAACACCAGAACCAGAACCAGGTAAACACCAGAACCAGAACCAGGTAAACACCAGAACCAGAACCAAGTAAACAACAGAACCAGAACCAGGTAAACACCAGAACCAGAACCAAGTAAACAACAGAACCAGAACCAAGTAAACACCAGAACCAGAACCAAGTAAACAACAGAACCAGAACCAGGTAAAACCAGAACCAGAACCAAGTAAACAACAGAACCAGGTAAACACCGGTTCCTCAGCCGGTTCCGGCCCAACGCAGCTGGTCGCCGAAGCCCTGAAATCCCGGGTTTGTGTCTGCCGCTCGGGGTTTCCCTCCGGACCTGGTCGGAGTCCCCGGTGAAGTGAGTTTCTGGCAGCAGGCCGCCGCAGGCCGCCTGGTTCGGTAGAACCGGACTCCCTCGCTCACCTCCAGGGTGTAGGTGTCCCATATTGCGGTGAAGTTGCTCAGGGCTTCAGCTGCGGTCTGCTCGTCCATGTTCAGTTCTTGACACAAAGTGTCCAAACTCCTCCGGACCGAACTCTCCTCCATCCTGCCCGACTCGGAACCAGACTCGGTACCCGACTCGGACTCTTCGCCCCGCATCCACGCGCTGAGCCCCGGCCGCGGTTCCCGCCGCTATCCCCCTGGAGAAACTTCAACAGCGGCGCAGAACGCCAACAACAACCTCCACGAGCGTCGAACTTCCGCCACCATGACCCACAAGGCATTGCGTTGGCGCGAAAACTTCGGGGTTCCGACCAATCAGGCGCGAGGGAAGCGTCGCTGAGGCAACGCTCCAATCCGGAGCCGCCCAGCGCTCACGTGCGACTGTTTGCTACTTTGTAAACTATCCAATGTGTGCCTTGGAAATAAAACATCATAAAATCACATAGAACTTTTATTCATTATAAATTAAGGTCTGAGGATTTTTGCCGCCTTTTTCGTATAATTCCGACACAATCATAGTGAATATTGATATGACTTCAATTTCAATTCAAAATATTTTATTAATTGTAAACGGAAATGAATTTTTTTTAATCCAAAAGTTCTTCCAGAGCTGTAGGTGCTGCTGAGCCAGGAGCTCCTGTTGCTGTCAGTGTTACAGGGTCTACAGAAGCCCCTGGCTTGAGACACACTGTGGGAAAGCATTGGCATGCAGACGACCTTCAAGGTTTTCACAATTTATTGATTTACTTTTTGATGTCTTAAAGAATCTCCAGTGGTTCCACAATCATCCTCAGAACAGAACCTTAACAGAACCAAAGCACAACCTGCCTTTTTTTTTATCAGTCTCTGGATGTGATGCTGCTGCCCCAACAAACATAAAATAAAATAAAAAGCGTGGCACATTTATTTTATTTCAACAACTTCTTAATGGTTGCACCTTTTCCTTGAATTCATTTCAGTCCTAAAATACAACTATGATACGATTAGTATAATATATATTTATTCACCCAGTCAAGTATTCTGTTGTGATGATGTCATTTCCTTTACCATGCTAATAGGTTCTGGTAACAGGATGTTGTTGGACACAGCTTCTGTTCATTATTCAAATCTGTTGATGATTGAAATATTCCAAACAGCTTCAAGAGGCACATTTACCAAAATGACTAAAATATTGTTATACTTTGGACGGTTTTTATAAATTTGTGAACAAGGTGAGTGAACAGGAGAATGTCCTCAGGGGATGATATGTGGCGTTTTTAACGATTGAAAACATTTTCACACAACTATACTTACATTTTATCTGAGGATGAGAAAATTTACACAACTAATACACGTTGTTGAGGCGCTTACCAAGGTCACACATATGCTTCTACACACATTACATTCTTTCACACAAAGGCCTTTGTATTTGTAACTGATACAGAAACTGAATCATCTCCTCACTCCCATCTCCAAGGAAATGGAGATTTAGGCGACGCAGGACATCGGATGACCACTGGCCGTGTTCTTACAGCATAACCAACGAATCTTCCCGTTTTTAATGATATGCTGTATCGACTGGCGGGGCCCCTTGGTTTCACTTCTAGTCTGTGATGGTAAGCGTCTCTTTTTTAGCGCTAAAAAAGAATAAAAAAAGTGAAGTCTGATTGCTTTGTGTTGGCTGATTTGCTAATCGTGCGCTTGCATGTTTTTGGTCTATTGGGTTTAGAATACATGATGTTTTTCACAACAGCATGTTAACATTTTTTGGGTTGGACAGAAAATAATCTCCCTTTCTGAAATGGATGTGGTATGGTGGTCTACAACATCCTGTTATTTATTTGGAGCAGTAGCTGATTAAATATGACAAATTTATCAAACAAGATAACTCTGACCTCATGTTGTTAGATTTTATTTATTGATCTCAGATAACATCAGATTACAGGAAGAAATAATTTGTTTTCTTATCAAATAAATCCGTTCATTGAATTAAATCAGTGATAATCCCACCCTGTTTCCAAATTAACATTTTATTTATGTATTTAAGAAAAAAGCACAACTCACCTGCAAAAATGATTTGTATTTGTGAATTACCAGATAATTCAAATAAATTCAGTCAAATCCATGATTAGATTTCTACCTAAAGATGATTATTAGATTAATTCAGTTACCGAGGAGCTGACTGTCTTTACACTCTAAGTTTATCTCCTGGATATATTCTTCTTGTATTACTGGCTTCAGTTTCAGTTGCTCTAAATGATTGAGCTACTAAACATACCACTATAAACATTTCATGCCTCCCAGTTCTGTTTCTAAGTGTATTGATCTCAGATATTGACTATGAGAGTTGCTGCTGCATGGCAGTCAGTGGGAGCTGAATCTGGAGTTATCTCTGGTCTCGATGGTTTTGATGAGCAGCTTGGGAGCCGGAGAGCTGCTGCTGCTGCTGCTGCTGCCTTGATAACCGTTACTGTATTTAGGACTGGAGAAACAGGAGAATCAAAACAAATGAAACGTCTGCCTCCGGTAAACGATGGCTGCTGAAACGATCAGAGGAAGAGCAGCGGCTGGGTGACGATACGTACCGGGGCTGGAGACGGCCTGGATGTTCAGGATGGACTGCTGCCCGAGTCTGAACCAACAAAACAATCCAGTCATGTTTCACTTTTCCTCTCAAAAGTCACTGCAATGAGACTTTGAGACTCAGTCAGCTTTGTTGTGAATAAAATGCTCAGCCACTGTATTTCTAACCGATGTGTTTCTCATTCGGGCAGCTGGTCTCGTTTATCCGTTACAGTCTTTTTATTATCTCTCATGAAAACATGCAAATACTTTAATGTTCAATTTACTGCCATCTTTTATGTAAAGACACAGAAACAGTTTCCGTCAGTCTGTCCTTAATGATGAAACTGGAGGACAAACAGCAGATTGATGTTACAAATCAAACTCAAGTGATCAATAACCTGTCAGTAAAGCCGATCAGCCGATCATCACTGACATTCACTGCAGAAGCTTTAAATGCTAACAAGTTTTTTTCCAGTGCAAATATCGTAGTTGACTTAAAATAAAAGTAAATGAAGAAACTTTTCAGTAAAATATCGGAGCTTAAAACTTAGAGCAGATTTTGACATGAGAAAATCTCTGATAGGTGAAAACAATCCTCCAGTGAAGCTAGAGCTGGTAATTATTATTTAAAACAAACTCCTATATCTTACTGAAAGTATTTTCATGCATATCTTCAAATGCATGAAGATATTTGCATTAAAATTTAGACAAAAACACTTCTTTGTGTTGCTACGCTGTTGTGGTTGGACTTTCTGCTGAAACAGTCTTTGGCTCAAAACTTGTCATCAACAGTGAAAGTGTTGAAGAAATGATTTCTCTCTGCTGTAAAGGCGTTGAGGCCCAAGTTTTCCTCTGAGTTGCAGGTTGTCTCTGTTTCTGTCAGTGTGTGGATGAGCTTCCTGTCTGCTACCTGTCCTCCTCCCCTCCAGCTTCCTGTAGGTGGCGATCTCAATGTCCAGAGCCAGTTTCAGGTTCATCAAGTCCTGCAGAGGCAACAAGCAGATGATTAGATTTCCGTTGGCAGTGTTTGGCCTCTTCCTGCTGGCGGCCCACCTGGTACTCCCTGAGCTGCCGGGCCATGTCCTGCTTGGCTCTCTGCAGAGCGTCCTCCAGGTCTCGGGTTCGAGCTTTAGCCTCTTTCACCGCCAGCTCTCCTCGCTCCTCTGCTTCAGCCAGCTGGTTTTCCAGACCGGCTCGCTGATGAGGAGACACCAGAAACAATCAGTGCTGGATGTTCATCAGGTGTTTCTGGATGGTATGAGCTGCACCTGCGCTTTCACGGCCTCGATCTCGCTCTGCAGACGGCTGATCAGCCGGTTGACCTCGGCGACCTCTCCCTTCACGATGCGAAGCTCGTCTCCAAACTGACTGGCTTGCACCGACATCTGGTCAAACTGGAAACACGACAGCTTGTCACTCTTCATCTTTACAGTCTGACAGGCTGCAGCACGAGCCCAGGAAGCGGCACGCTGCACCTTGCTCTTGTACCAGGCCTCGGCCTCCTCTCTGCTGCGGGCGGCGATCTCCTCATACTGGGCTTTGACTTCCACCACGATCTGCTCCATGTTCAGGCTGCGGCTGTTGTCCATCTGCACCACCACCGACGTGTCTCTGATGCTGGCCTGCAGCTCACGCAGCTCCTGCACGACGAAGCCAGACGTTCACAGAGAAAGCTTCAATAAGAGACGGCGTAACTTAACTACTCACTGCAAAAACAAAATGTTAGCCAGTGGTTTTTGGTTTCATTTCTACTTATAATATATTATTACACTTGAAATAAGACAAACCTAACCCAACCGGTCAACTACTAGCTCTGCTAACGCATTATTTCACTGATAATATGGGAAAACTGCTAAACTAGAACAAACTGCTGAGTAATGCTTTGTGTTTAACATTATTTTTATCTTTATTACTCAAATATTACAGGCTGAGCAGCTCCGCTGCTGGATGGACCGACTGACTGGCCTCCTTTAACTTCCACTCTCATGATGAGGCCAGAATAATAAACTCTCAAAAGATTTTATCAGAAACTTCAGCCTAAAAACAGGAAAATGTGAAGTTTTGACCGATGATTAACGCACCTCCTCGTAGACGCTGCGCAGGAAGTTGATTTCATCAGTCAGAGCGCCAACCTTATCCTCCAGATCAGCTTTGACCAAGTAGGCCGAGTCGACATCCTGCACAGTCACCCAAAGCACAAGACAGCTTTAAAAGCCAATCACAACGACCGGTTCAGAACCGTTTTCAGAACAGAAGCACCTTCTGAAAACAACCATCTTTCTATCAAACATACTTCTGAATTTATATAGATATATTATGTTTTTGGTATCTAATATCCAGAGATAAATTGTTAAATGTACATCAACTGTAAGCAGAAAATGATCATAATTTAGTTAAATAAATGCTTGAACACATCAGTCTGATGTTTCAAGTCAATATCAGATTCATTCCTGTTGCTCAAAGACAACCTGAAACATTTTTTACAAATAGAATAAGTTTATTTTGATCTAAACACTAATCTTACAAAACGGACAGAGAGAATTGATCGACGTTCAGAGATCAGCGATTAGCATCCAGCTGTGATCAATCCGTGTCGTTCTGACACCCAAAGCCTCCTGACCTGCACTAGCAGGTCAGAGGACAAGCAGGGGTCAAGCTGTGAGTGAAGTGCGCTCAGACAGCCACTAGGGGCCGCACTAGAGCAGCAAGCGG